AACAACAGGATGCCTATCGCGGGGAAAGACGGTGTTGACTGACGTGGAAAGTTATCTCCTAGATTTGAAACATGATCAACTTTGTGCATCAACAGTGAGAAAAACATCTTGACTTACGTTGATTGGTATCTCTATTATTGGTAGTTGCATCTCGAAAACCCAATTGAGATCTTCTGGAGGAAGAGAGACCTGTATCTCGGTTAGGACCAGTTGGGCTTGGTGTAGGGTCTGGCCTCGGAGGTGATATGGCAAAATTATTGGATGCTCTTTGTTTTCCTTTGTTGGAATAGGATGGATGGTGTGGTGAATCTTCCGGGGTAGGAACTTCTTGATCGGATGACAGATATGATGCTCTAGGAGGTGAAGAATTTTGAATCGCCCTCTGTTTTCCCTTGTTTCGAGTAGATGTACGATGTGGTGAATTTGTTGCCTGCGATCTGTGGTTGGTTGTTGCTGCTTTTTTCTTAAAACGGGTTCTGAGCGTGAGGGAGGAGCGTCGATTAGGGTTGAAATTGGGGGAAGAATTGGAGTCTTCTTCCCGAAATGGCTCATCATCTGGATCAGACTGATTCTTGTTGTTTCGTAATTGTGTAATATAGCTTTCCTCTTCGTTTATAACAGGAAATTCGAAGTTATCAAGACGAGACGATGATGGAATTATACATCGGGCGTTGGATGAGCGACGAGATGATGGGGTTGGTGATTCATCACCATCCTCTGAGATGGCTTCGGATAGTGTCTTTCGTGGTGCTTTTCTACCAACTGAAATTCAAATGAGTTTATAAGGCGTATCAGTGGGAGGTTGAAACAAAAAGGAATATATGTATGAAATATGTGATAACATGCCTACCTTTGTCCTTAGGGCCAATACTACTACCGAGCTGTTTGTGTACATCAGACGGGTTATCTCGAGCATCAGGGGTGTGAGATTCTGTTTCAAAAGTGTTGCTTTCAGGAAGATGAGGCGATGAAGGTTCGCTGATGTGCTGTTTTTCGAGTGCTGGCCGAATGATATCAGGTTGCAAGCTTTGAGGGACATGTTTCGGGTAGCGGGGGTTCTCAAGGTCAATAGCTAAATCATGATCCTCGGGTACAATTGGTTCCTGATCGGGGTTTTGTTTTTTTAAAGCTTTCGATTAGGGAAGCAGTATGAAAACATCGTCAGGACCGATCAAAGCAAAACATAAATTAAACGGATGGAACAACCAAGCAGAGAAAGCTAGGAAGGGAAACAAGTGCTCACCAGTGATTTCGGAATGGTACAGACAGCATAGTTTTGCAAGAGCCGAACTATTGAGGCAGGCTCTATCAAGTTCAAATGGCTCCAATAGTTTCATGAGCTCCTCCTTGCACATCTTATAGTACTGTGAAGTACTGCTGGGAGTTATCGCGCTTCGTCTAGCTCTTGAGTTCCAAGTGCAGTAAGTTTGTTTGCTTGAATGAGATTGCTGTACCCGAGAGTTTGATTTTGATACCTTTGCTTTGGTGATTTGTGATTGATAAAGACCTTGAAGGTCTCGAAGACTTAAACCTTGCAATGCAGAGAAAGACACCCCAGCTTCCAAGAGTGCAAATCTCATAGTTGCTTCGGATACTCCTTGATCTTGTCTGTCATATGCTATAAACATAACATCCAAATTAACACCAACTCTCTACCTCTCTTCGACAAGAATGGCTCTTTGCCAAGCCAGTGAAGTAAAAAACAACTTACTCTTTCCCCTATCACGTGCCTGTGCATCTGAGTCTATCTTCCTCTTCTGACTTCGGGTCTGTGGCATTGTGGATGGAGGATCGAAAATTTGAGATTGATTTGAAATTGCTATAAGAATGACCTGACTGTAGAAGTTATGGAATGAGATATATAGTGGTTGTAGACTTGGTAAGACCAGCTTAGATCGAGTCTATTAGTTTGATGGATTCAGAAATTACGGAGACTGTGAACTGGGGAAGGTGCCAAAGGATGGTGCTGAAGTTATACTTTCAATGCGGGGTGCCCAGCACAAATATATAAGAGGATGAACCCAATAAGATAATGAAAAGGTATATCAGGGAATGTGTTGAGAAATGGAATTGGAGACGTATGTGAAAAAGTATTATAAGGAGATATGACTGGAGTCCGGCACCAGTAGGAAAAGTGAAGAGGAAGTATTGAGAGACGAGGAATGTATCAAATCGAGTATGAGATGTTATAATCAAGCTGGATGTAGCAAAACGATACCCAATAAAGGGGGCAGCGTGAAATGAGCACCTTTGGACATCCTTAGACGTGGAGAAAGAGCATTTGATAAAGGAAAGATGGACTGAGTAGATGCCACAACAAAAGAAAGATCAGCATAGAATGAGGCACTTGTGAAAGGAGTCGAAAAATATAGGAATCTGAATGAACCGGTGTAACCGCTCTCCTCACTGGAAATTTGGGAAACTTGATTGAGTGCGGTTAAATCAGTTGAATGAGTTGAGCGTTACCAAAGTTTTATTTGACTGAACTTACAGATCAAGTGATTCAGCAGAGGGGATTTATGGAGATATGTGGAGCTTAAATATTGAGATGCACTCAGGTCGAGACCAAAGAACTGATATTACTAATGCAAAGGTTCAATTTTCAGCTCTTCTAAAGAAGGTTCTCCAAAACGGCAAATGTAGCCTTTCAAGAAATAGTTCCACAACAAAAAATACTCCTGGAGGGGATTGTGACATTACAAATGGGGCGAAAGTGAAACCATCACAAGAATAGTTGATCATAGAATAGCACATGAAAAGAAAGGGTTGTTTTTGAGACTCATTTTTTCCGATACTTTTGGCCATGGGTCCCTGATGTGCTACTGGTTTGCTCGAATGATTCTATATAAATGCAAAGTCACGATGGCCATATGCGCTGATCAGTTTTGAGATTTCCTAAACCAAACTTTGGAACGTATCTATAATCAAAAGGGTTTCATGACAAAGCTCGAGAGAATCTGCTAAAAAAACAAGGTACCTGGAGTAAGAGAGATGTCATTCCTCACAAATTTGATGACCTCCAAAATAAACTGATCTTCCCCTTCTTCTTCATCCCTCTTGGGCTTTTGGCCCTTTTCAAGAAATTCGGAATTGTCTTTATTGGCTAAATTCACGGAGGCTTTTGATGAAAAGGTGATTGGACTCTAGTCAGTGGATGGCGTAAGTGAATCAAGAGAAAGTTGAGGGTCTTACTATGGTTGTTGGCTTGGCTTCTATCCTGTTCAGAAGCTTGACTTTCGGAATCCGTAGCATCTGCCAGTCAACAAGAGTGGATCAGTACAGGAAATCGGGAGGGGCTTTCGAATGCGATTGCAAAGAATGACTTACGAGGTTGAGGGGTGTGATGTTTAGAAGGATGGATACGTTGATCAACATATTCATCATCAACCTGCTCATGAACACCGCGATGGACCAGACTCGGAAAGTTATGACCCATGTCGTATTGATTGAGTGTTGAGAGAAAGTATATAGAAGTATGGACATACCCCAAAACAATTATCACAAAAATATTCGAAATTGGAGATCCCTTTGTTTCAAACAGATAAAAGGCCTGAAGGATCATCTGACATACGTGAAATGAAACTGTGCATTCACCCTTGTGATTCGGCCTAAGAGACAAAGAAAGGGATCAAAAAATTGACAGCTGCTGGTATCAGAACGTGCTATGACCAAAATGGGAAAGAACAATTCAGCGTATAGCTAGTCTGTGGGACCCAGCTCAATCAAGACATAAGTGTTAGCTTTCAAGATCAGGTGTACAGAATACAATCTACAAACACATATTTAGTCTTCCCAATCATTCTTTCGACTTGATCTATTCGAGTTAAGGGGATCATCATCAGGATTCCATAGATGTTTGACATTAGCTATATACTGGTGCTCTCTACGTTGACTCATTGATGGAATTGATATACTCAATTGAATAGAAATCAAGGAGATAGAAGAGTGATGTGTTGGAATTATGATGATATTTCGATGATGATGTGGACAAGCACCAAAATATACCTGGTTCCTGAAGTAGATCGAGAGGTCTTGAAAGTACAAAAAATTCCGCATAGAAAAGTAAAAAATGGATTGAAAACATTCGAAGGTTTCTGATGATACAAATGTGATCAAAATTGATGTAAGATTCAACCCTGTCCAACCTCTAGAGCCAGAGTTATTACAATTTGATACGTTTGTAACCTGCGTGTGGGTACCATTAAGCCATTAAACTATCCAGAACAGGTAATTTGAAGTAATCATCCAAATTGTAAATCCTGCATTATAAATCATACATTGTTTCAAAACAAAATTTTGTCGAGTTCAGAGAATATATAGAAAACTGATATACTTCAAGCTGAATTACATTCAGATAGCCAAAAAGAGGTAAGGCTCAGATACCACTGTACTTGTGTTCAATTTTTTGAAACTGCTACAGCACCATGAGCCTTCATCTTCCGTTCGATTTCTTGCGGATAAGATTTGACTGCTTCATTCTTGAAGGCTTCCCATTCTGATTCTGTCTTACCATCCTTCAATTTAAGTAGCTTATCAATGCGTCCAATCAATGCCTTATTCATCTGTAACGAAGACCCAAATAGAGTAATGGGTGATTCTTCAGGCGGGATTGGAATACAACCTTCGTCATAGGTGGTCGAGGTGCTGGTATGATGAAGTTCGTTTGATGCCCAGATACTCTCGAGGAAGCCATCACAAGAGGATAGTGCAACTTCAACATGGTATTCATCCAGTATGAAGTAGGCATCTATAATATCGCCCAAGTAATCAGAAAACATAAGCCAATGAAGTTCACCTGTAAGACGATCAATCTTTCCAAATAGGCCATAAGAATACTCGGTTGCATCACCATCCTGATGAGGTTTGTTGTTGAAGCCGTCCCGAGTAACTACAATGCTTGAAGCTATAACATTGGCATTCGGAGATTGAGACCAGGTAGCATCGGAGAAAGAAGGTACTTCGTATTTAATGGCAAGATCCCGATTTGACTTGAAGGCCCTTAAACATAGAGTAGACATCCATTCCGCAAGAATTTCATTAATTTTAGCTAGTTCAAGCATCCGATCTTGATCCTCGAGAATAGCCTGTTCACTCTTTGCTGTTTTAGCATTCAAAGCAGTTACACCTGGAGGTACAAAAAGAGGTTACAAATGGATGTTAAAAGTGGTCAAAGATTTCGGATTATAGCAAGCTGATAACGAACCAAATGTTTTCCCCTTGTCTGATCCTGGTCTATAGCCGGCTGATCTCATATCTCCCCAATTCTTCAATTCCTTGACTGATTTATTGATCATAACAACACCACGAGCCAATGTATGAGCATAAAGAGTTTTGATTATCCAACTTGATTCTTTCATTTCCTCTTCAGTCATTTTGGAGAAAGGCCTAAAGCGGTTGACTTGCAATACCTTCCAAGTGTCGGCATCCAAAACCACAGAGTTTCCAAAGTCTTTATCACT